ATGTTTTTTTCATTTTTTTTAGATATATATACTATATTTTAGATTCTTAAAACGAAAGTATCACAAAACTTATGGAAAAAACATTTTATTAAACTGAATTTCAGGTAAATTTCTTTTCAGAAAAACAATTACTTAAAAATAACATAATTAATTGACACCTCTACGGGAGATAAAGCTAAGCGCAAAGTGCCTGTAATGAAGGACATAATCTTTATTCATAAAAAATTTTAATGTGTTAATGTATCGATTAAAATAAGTAAAATAAAAATTACTGTTTTTGTATGATAATTGTTGTTATTACTATTATTTGTACTACTATTACAACAATTTTTTTCACTATGAACACTATTATCTCTACCACTATAATTTCCACTATAACTATTAATCATTTTTTCTTATTGTTCTTTTTTATTTAATCTTATATGTTTTATTGTGTTTTTTCTTATCTCTAAAATTTAACTATCAAAAATCTATTTAAATTCATTTCCTTTTTTACTAAAAACAGTTATTATTCACTCTAAGATATTCAATATTAATATTTTAATAATATATATTAAAAACTAAATATTTAGATTCAAAAGCAAACTATTTTAATTTTTTGAAAATATGTGATATTTTTCAGACAAAGAACTGTAAAAGCTACAAATCAGATGGATCACAGAAGTCGTTCTCGCGACCAGCTACTGGACAAACGAAGAGGCGAGTCCATGACAGTAGTGTTAAAAGGCCTTTTAATGATAAACAAAATGTGCTCTTCAATGAATTGTTCCTTGTTTTAAGGACAACCCATTGCGATTTGGTGTTTTGAGAATGATTTTCTCCGTAAGGATTGACATCCTAATTTAAAACCTAAATAACAAAACAAAATTTTCGCTAGTATATTTTAAGTTTTTTGTCACGCATTTCGTATCCAGCTTGTGATTTTGCGACCGCTAGTAAAACAGCAGTAGATGGAGGAGCAAGTAAAAGATCTTGCTTGTGAGCCTTTCTTCTGCTTCTCTTTTATTCTACCAGAAAAATATTTTGATTTGATTTTTAAAAAGATTAAAAATTTTTATTTGGTTGGATTTCATTGTTTTTTCAATTATTTTAGTTTTCAATGTTTTTTATGGTGGGATGTATAAATTAATAGAATTAAAATGAAAGAAATTCTACTGACACACCAATTTGTTTGGAATTACAATTCCAACACGTATCTTCAATGCAAAAATATAAATGTTGTTATTCGAAGACATTATAAAGAATAAAAAATATTTTTTGGAAGGGTAAATATTTATTTAAATATATTTATACTATTGTTTTTTCTAGGAAAGAATTCAACGCATTTCGCTATTTCACTAAACAAAATAATCATGAAATAATTGTTTTTGCGTTAATAAGAATATTAGAATGTCAATAAAGTACAAATATCAACAAATTTATCATACTGTTGATTAATTACGCTTATGACGTATTTCCCTAGTTATTAGCATAAGTTTTGGACGTTTCGGACGCTCGGCGTCAACAATAAATATTTTGATTTTAGTTTTCCGTGAATATTGATTTTTCAACATTATGTCATAGGAAAGAAATATATAGACAGAGAAGTTTGGAATAACTATCTATATGGTTTTTGTTCTCTATTACCTCTAACAAGTTTACCTATGTGTGATCTATACTTGATGAGGCAGTAAATTATCCATATGTGTATATTTTTCCTAAATACTTGTTTTTTAAGGCAGCTCTATCAAACAATCATTTTAAAAAAATTATGCTTGATCAGATGCATAACAGGAAAGATTCTTTCCGCTGCTAAAAGATGAAACTCCGCATAATTTTTTTTGTAATATGGAATATGAAACTATTTTTATGGTTTCTTTTAATAATTACTTTCAGATTGTTGGTATCTTTTGCAATAATGCAAATATTCATTGAAAATTGTATATTGTTTTTATAAATATGTATGAATGAAAATTTAATTTTTTTTGTTTTATTGGTATCCTCATGTATGGTAAATTGTATACAATATAAATTTATATAGTTAAAAATACATAAAATTTTTTTAATTAATGGTTTATTTTGCGTATTTTTTTGAATGTTTGTATTTTACCAATTAATTTTTATTGATGCAATTTTTGAAGCTTGATCCCGAAAACATAAATTTTTTTTGGATGAAAACTATTATAAAATAATAGTACGATTTTTTGGTAATCGTAATCCATTTTTAATTAGCTTTATGGGATATTCTTCCATTTAAAATCTGTTGTGGTTTATAATTAGATTTTTTGATAGATATCATGTCGTATAAAAAAATACAATCTCTTTTAAATTTTATATCGTAGACTTTTATCCACCATGAAAAAACAAAAGTTTTCTTCTTTAAAGCATATAAGTGCTTTATTCTCTATACAAAAAATTACTATATTAATGATTTAACAGTTTCTACTATATATTAAAATCATACGAATTTGAATACCTAAATTTTTCTTTCCAAATATTGAATTTGGCAGATAAAAAAAAGCCAATTGAATTTAGCATGCAATATCTCTGTTAGATGTCGAAACATTTAGATAATATTAGAATAATATAGTAACAAGCATTTAACATTTTTTTTCTTGTAAAATAATAAATTTGAAATTTTATATTTTTCTTTATTCGTATTGTCAGATGTAAAATAATTAAAACAATTTTTGAAAACTAATTATTCATCTTTATTGCTTTCACTTAAGCTATTTTAAATAAAACAAAATTTATTGCTATATTTGCTAATTTTTAATTAGAATTATTCTATTTTGTGAATAAAATATAAAATTTTTCTAGTTGCCAATATATTTCGAGTGCAAAGAACTAAAATTAGTAAACAGGTATAATACAAAGTATACAGTATAAAAAGATTTTTAATTCATATATTACAGATTTTTTTTCTATTGTTTTTTTATTGGTGCCTTTTTGAAATAATTCTGTAGTATGTATGTTTTGACTTCGGTAGACTGCTCGCCTTTCCGCTTCTTCCCTCCTCTATTAGATCCACTTTTATGGTTTCATTTTTACGAATTCTTCATTATAGAATTTGATCAATTCCTTAGTTTTGTGAATTTATTAACTTTTTAATTTCTCATTTACAAGTGTAAGTATACCGAACCATCTTCATTTTTTATTTATATCGTTTTGTTTAATTTGTTTTTTAATTTTAGTTCTTAATGTGGAGGTATTAATGATCTCAATGACAATTGCAAAAAGGATAACCAGTTTCGGATTCATTTGTTGCCATTTCGCATGTTAACATATATTTAAATAACATATAAAGGCAAACAAACCACTAATAAACAAAGATAATGATAATATAAGGTGTTTTTGAAAAGAAAAAAATAGACTATTTTATAAATAAATTGTTTTTTAATCCTAAATTATTGTTTTAATAGTTTTTTGTTCTTGGTTACTAGTCTCTCCGGTGAAATAAAAAGTTATTAATTAAGAGATCACCGTTCGATGCGTTTTTAAGCATATAATAATTATTTTGGGCCATAGTATATCAAGCATTCTCATATTACAACTAGATATTTTACAAGCGATATCGTCAAATTGATTTTATAACTATAGAACAATAAACAATATAATTTTAAGATGTAGACATATATTAAGAAAATACAAAAAATTCTATAGTTAGATCGTTTGTTTATACTAAATACATGCTCTAATTTCATTTTCATATATCTTTTTTAAATCTTGTTTCATTTTGACTTTAGTATTTTTCAAGAATCTGAAAGTTTAGCTTGAATACAAATCCAACCAAACAGAATTGCCAAATACTCATATTTAAAGAAAAATATTTCTAATGCTACACACTTTTATAATCGGATTGTTTTCAAAATAAAATCATACTTACAGTTGTTTATTAGTGTCAAATTAATTTAATTTGATAAAGAAAATAATTTATAACAAATCTGTAAATTAGATTAAAAAGTGATAAACGAAAATAATTGAATAATTATAATTTTATGTTGACACAAATATTTAATTAGTTTAGATAAAAATGTTTTTGAATAATCCATTATGTTTTTAATGATCATTGCGATGAGTAATGAATGAATTTTAATTGGTGAAAAAAATAAAATTTTCATTGATCGCATAAGATATTATTTCTATAAATAGATTGACATGAATTCAAATTTTCCTTTTAAAAATGTAAACAAAAATATAAATAAATCATCAAAACCTACTTTTTTCAATACTTACAATAAAATACTCAAAATCAATCTATAAATGTAGCAAAAAATGAAATTTTTGGATATAGCTATGATTTTTTTGTTTATCTAATTTTTTTTGTTGTTAACAGCTCCTTGAAAAAACAAAAACAGTATTTAATTATAGAAAAAATATTATTCATTTATTTTTTGCGTTCTTCATCATCTATTTCAATTATTATATAGTAAAAATATAACTGTGATTTTATCAAAGTAACCACTTCATCGGTATTCAAAATTTTGAAATCTTAGAATAGATTTTAAAATAAGAGATTTTTCACAAACTTTCGTTTTATATGCTACTATTACGTGATAAATCCTTTGTATTATAAATTAGACATTATAAATATTTTTTATTATAGAATAATTGTGCATATAAATATTAAAAACAGATTCATGAAGCTTAAAAAATCGATTCAACTATATTTATTCACAACACAAAAAACTAAATATTTTATCGTTTTTATTGCAAACAAGAGTAAAAATAGGCGAAAATTTTACACCGAAACTAAAATGTTGCAAATCATTTTCATGAATTTTTCATAACATATTAATTAATTTCCAACTAAAATAGTTAGATTTCTTTAACAGACAATAATGTTTTTTTATAAAATGTTGTATTACAAAATCCATTTTAATAAATTAAATTTATATTAATAAAAATTTGGGCGTTTATTAATTTTATAGCGGCTATGTTGAATGTATTTTAATTCTTTTAATAATGTTTGCAAGATATTACATTTATAACTATAATAAAAAATTGCCTTATTAATATGAGGTCTCATGGCCCAATGGTTAAGGCGCTAGCCTACGAAGCTGGAGATTCGGGGTTCGAGTCCCCGTGGGATCGTTTTTGTGAAGAGATAATGTTGTTGTAATTGCAATTTATTTGTTTTTTGAAAAATTCAAATAAATAATTGTATCTTACATTTCACATTTGTAAAATTTTATTGATATGAAAAAAACAAGAAATAAATTTAAAATGTTTGAAATATTTCACGGAATTTCTTTTTTCATTGCTTAAAATTTGTTTCTATTTGAATATTAACATATTTTGAAATTTGGTTTGATTTATTCTACGATAATTTGGTAAATTTTCTAAATACTTGATTTTTGAAGTGTAATGATGTAGAACATATGCATTAAACATATGAAAATATGATCATGATTTTTTTTTATTATTGTATTTTAAGAATTATAACCTGAATTTCTACAAATAAAACTTATTATATACTCTTACACCATTCAATACTATTAAATATCAAAAATTATTTAACTCAATTATATCAAGGACATTTCATAAAGCAATGAAATAAAATATCTTAAATGTTTTTAATACTCTTTAATCAATATTTTGAGTATATTTTGTGAGTTAATACACTGAATCATAAATTGACTACACGTTTGTTTATAATCATAAATTTCATTTATACATTCTAATCTATTTTAACAATATTTGATTTAAATGATAGAAAGCCTATGCCAAATAAAGTTTTATTGCTTTTTTAAGTTATTTAACGATTAGCTTTTTTTAAATCCTTCGTTCGTTTGCATTTCATTTCAACAAGCCAAAATAGTTTTGAGATTAGTACCGAACAAGAATATAAGATTTTTATGTGATAATAACACTTATTTGCAAAAAAGCAAGTATTAATTGTTATTTCAATTTAAAACCAGCGAATTAATATGTGAAAATCAGCTTCTATGTGTTTTTGTTTGGAATCGCACAAATATAATCTGAAAAAAGATACTTTCTTAGTATGCGAGTAAATTTTTTAGAATCGTAAATTTTTTGCCCATAATTTCACTCTCATTACATTAAAATTGAGATTTTCAAACATATATATATAAAACTATTTAAAAATATTCATTTATATATGTTATATACATAACCCGATAATTTCAAATTAAAAGATTCTTGATATGTTTTAGAAACTACTGATTTAAATTATATTTTATGATAGCTTTTTTGCAATTCAAAATATCTTAACAAAAGATAAAGGTTGTAATTTATTTACATCAGCAGATAAAACTGTAATTTGTTTAAAATTATTATATTGATGTGCATACGGATATGCAAAACTTTGAGTTTTTTTCCGATGGACATAAAAAAAGATTCAAAAAATTCTAAAAATTTTAGTTAATGACAATCAAGAATATAGTAATTTCGTTTATTTATATTGCGATAATCCACAATAATATCATCATTATACCCAAAAGTCTTCCGTTCAGTCTCTTTTGGATCACACTGGTTACTATACTTGTTTGCTTTACTACATTCACATCTATATATGCTTTAAATCGATAAATGAAATGAAATTTTCAAATTTAATTTATATTAAATTTTTTAGTGGAATATATCATGAACTTAAAAATTACTAATTATAAACGTCAAATTGTATATCATCTCAAAAAAAATAACACATATAAAAGCTTCATAATCATTAAAATTGTTATCAATTATTCGTAAAATTTTATTTTAAATTAAACATTCAATCTAATTAGAAAAAAGCAAATTTTGAATGTGCGACAAGCATAGTTTTTGAAATGTCGGTGAAAAAATATATAAATAATTTATTGTAGTATTGTTTAAGTAAAAAATTTTGATAAAATTATTTTGAAAAAGTTTTATTTCAATGGTTTAAATAATTGTTATTCATTATAATTTTTTATACTATTTTAACAAATTGTTCTGATGTGTAACATTAGTTGTTTATTACTTTTTACAATGTAATTAAAAATTTATGATAAGATAATTTTTTTTATTGAAAATTTTAATATATTGGTTGATGATAGGTTGAATTTTCCAAGTTACTTCTTATGATATTTTCAAAACTTAGAAAGCATTTTCAAGGTTAATATGCTTATTTGTTTAAATTATTTTAAAAACAGAATGATGTACTGATTTATGAAACTTTATTGCACAAACGATATGTCTAATTTTTTTTTATATGAACCTTGCAATTCAAAAAATCATTATTGTAATTTTTAATTTATATTTGATTTTCCGTTCATTCTATTGTATTCAATAAAATTTCTGAGTTGACGATGAAAAGATACAATTTGTGTTTTATTTGAAAAAATATATTTTTTAAAGCAATTAAATTAGTGTTTGTAAAATTTTAATCAGAATTATTATTTTCGACGAGATTGATATTGTTTAAATTATAACAGAAAAACTAAAATAATTTAATGATGACAATAAAAAATTTTATACAAAACCAACTTATTTAAGATTTTTTTTTAAAATAAATTTTGTTTTTATTTTATGGTTATAGAGTCTAAAAATAATAAATAGAAAATTCAGATCATAAAAAAACGAAAATAATAAAAATGAATTGTATGTCGATTAAATTTATTTGTATGTGTGAAAAGTTAAAGAATAATAAAAAATTGGTTTTCAATTTCTTAATTTTGAATCTGCTAATAAATTCTGGCTTATTTAGGTGTGGTATTAATATAAAAAAGTATTTGAAGTGTGTTGGAGACAATGTGTCTTTGTAAAAAAATAGATGATTCAAATGATTTTTTGTTTATCTAAAAATATGTCAAGCATCAAACGAACTGATGTTTTTGAATTTTATATTAAATTGATGCTTCTGATAATCGATCAAATTTTTGATCAAATTTGATCACTGTTGGTGGATTATAGGTCCATAGTATCAAGATAAGCTTGATACATGAAGTTTTGATTTTTGATCGCTAAGTGATTGGTCACGAGTGATCACTAAAAAGTTTTAATAACTTTCGTAAATAAATAGAACGAGTTCAAATGTCTTTTAATAAGGTTTATTTCTAATCTAAGTAAGTCCGGTAGGCCAAGAGGTCGTCCCCGGCAATCCAACCAAGTGTTTGAAAAATTTTTCTGGAAAACAACAATATTTGTTTGGGTTTGCATAGAATTTTTTCCTTATTCTTTGCATTTTAAAGGCCTTAAATTTAGAAATAACAATTTAAATAGAAATAAATTACACGAAAAAAGAAATTTAATGTAATTAATAAGATATTTTATTATTTCAAGCAGTAGTTTGGGGTAAAAATTAAAAATTATCAAATTACACAATATTAAACACAAAAGTTAATTATTTTTTAAGATTTTTAGAATAAAAAAAACTGAAAATTGTATTCAAAATTCTGTATTGGTATGATATAAAGCAAAAAACTTATTTTTGAAAACTTATTATAGCATATAAAAATCATTTAAGGCTTTGAAGAATTTTCAATTTATCAAAGAAAGTGACATATTTTAAATGCATAAAAAATGTGTTGCAACTTTTAAAAATCAAGATTGTTAATTTTAAAGTTGAAATATGAATAAAGTAAAAATCTTATAAGACTGTAGAATATATTTTAAAACTACTAATTTGTAGTTTATGGTATAAATATTCACTATAAATGCAATCATAAACAGATTTTTTGCTAAATATTGTTATCAGATTAACAGGTAAGGTTAAAAACATACCGGTTGTCTTGCCTACTTTTTACAGTAACAAGGAAATGATGGTTTTGGAAGAGCGAATATGAAGAGTGCTGCCTCGAAAAACGGGGAAATAGGCGGAGTCTTTTGTAAGAAAGAGTGTGTTGTTATTCAATGTAGAATACGACATAAAATAAAACAATTTTAGGGGGTTGACATTTATTTAAAGAGAATTTATTCGGATAAATTCTAAGAAAAACATGTTATTAATTATATATCACAACAGCTATAAATATAAGGATCGTTATTGTTAAGTTTAATTTTGAAAATTTTTGAAGTTGTTTTATCAATTTATTCATTTTATTTTTTATCTTAGAAATGTTTTTTTTGGTACATTTATATTATAAATTAATACTAGTTTTGGTTAAATTTTTTAAAACGAAAAATTTAGAAACTGTGATTTTTTTTGATTAAAAAGTAGGTATTTGTTCATGTAATTTTTTTCAAAAAATTGAAATTTGGCAAGTTAATTTTTATATATTTTTTTGAAACTTTTTTTTACTATTAATGTTTAAAAGTTTATTGTTTAGGCAGTGAATTTTAGAATTTTTACAAGTGCTTACGATTCTCACAAAAATAAAAATATTAAAAATATTCAGCAATACCATTTGCAATAATTTATATTTTTTAAATGAAGTTTTATGAGAAAAAATCATTTCAGGATATATTTAGATTATTTAAAGGTAATTTTTTTATAAAGAACAAATTTATAATAATTTATATTCATCGAGTCAAGTTTTTATAAGAAAAAAATCACATAAGTAAATATAATGATTAATTGATGCCGATGTTTACTTTGATTTAAATGTATTTAATTTCAAGATAAATTTGATATTTTCTTAATTTTAAACACAGAATATTTCAATAAAATGTAATTTTACATCCAAAAATATATTGCAATCTAATGAATTATCCAATAAAACACAAATTTAATTAGCATAGATGTTTTCCGAATATGTTTTAGCTTTATTACATTTTTTTTTGATTTTTAAAATAAACAAATATTTTTACAAAGAACCCTCAAGAAAATTTAAAACACATATAAGATTAATAAAAAATACATTTTGCAGAACAATTCTTTTTTTCTTCAAACTTATATTAATCTATAAAAAGAAAAAAACACACCCCTCCAGGGATTCGAACCCTGGACCCCACGGTTAAAAGCCGAATGCTCTACCACTGAGCTAGAGGGGCTTGTTCAAAAGACAAAATGTATATAAAATCTATATATTAAGCATGTATAACAAAAATAGTACTGACTATAGCATTAGAGAACTAACAATATTATGAAGAGATATTTTATTATGCGCAGAAAAATGAATACAAATAAATAATAAAACTTTTCTGAATATTAATATTTTAATTATGAAATGGCAACAAAACTATCATCTTTCTTGTAGCATAGATTACATTTTAGAATACATTTCGATATTCCAATTTTTGTCATTATAAATTGTCAAGATAAAACACATATATCTTACTATCTATCATCATGTTCTTTTTACATAAAGCTTTACTAATTATCCTTATTTCAATTAAATATACAACTTACAAAACATATAATTATTTAAAGCATACAAAATTACTCGAAAACAGAAAAAGTATTTTTTTCAAAACATATTAAATAAATTAAAATAAGATATTGAAATATTAATTTTCAAATAACAAATAAGAATCAACGAAAAAAAATTTAATCTGAAGATTGTTCTTCGCCAACAATTGCACCCTTTGCCTGCTGATTCATTTCTAACGCCTTCTTTTCGTATACTTCCTTCTCTTTTTGGCTCATATTTTTCCACTTGGTTGTCAGTTCGCTGTTTTCCTTTCCAATTTTCAAAGTGACTCCACTTTTCTTTGCATTTGCATAATGTTCTTTCATGAAGATATTGTATGCCGACACCTTCTTTTCTCTTTTTGACTTTCCGTTCTTCTTGTCTTTTCTTGCCTGAGCTTTCTCGTGCTTTTTTGCTTCCTGTTCTTGCGCATATTCGGGCGTTTTTTTAAATTCCTCCATCTCCGCATCGTACTTTGCGACGTCTTGCTGATACAGTTTGTTGTACTTTTCCTTGACCTTTTCATCTTCTTTCGACCACATCTCGCCTAAAAGCTTGCCCATATCGCCGAGTGACATCTTCGGAAGCGTCGGTCTTTTATCGTCGCAGTATCGCAAGTATACACTTTTTGGCCGTTTTGGTCCTTTTGACTGTATTTTTTTCGATTTCATCTAAAGGGTACACCGTTGCTTTTTTATATGTTTTGTCTGTAAAAATTGGAAAAATATTTGGAAGTTGAAAAAAAAAAAGCAAAAAAATTTTTTTTAAGTCTTTTTCAATTTTCTTTACATCCATTTTTCTGTGTTATTACAATTTATTTTTTCAGAAAAAAATAAAAAAAACAATTAAAAGTAGATTTAGATTTAGAAGTGTTAGAAAAAAAATGTAAGAAAAAAAATGTTTTTAAGTGTTGTGGAAAACTTCTTTATAATTGTTTTTTCTATGTTATTTCAATTTATAATTTGTAGAAAAAAATAAAAAAAGTAGATAAGAAGGATTAGAATGTGTTTTATAGAATAAAAAGATAGAAGTTGCCTAAGTAATGTTGTTGAAATCACTTAAAAATCTATATCTGACAATAAAGATAATTTCAAATCTTTATTTGATTTTTTTTTTGAATTTCCATTGAGATCTTAGTAAAAACTAATTTCAATTCACTAAATTTTTTTATGAATTTGCATGACAGTGAAAAAAAATCTAACGGAATATTTTAAAATTAAAACGTAACCCTTCTTTCAATTTTTAAAAACACAAATACATTTAAATATATATTCATATCTTCAATCTAAAAGAAACTTAAAAAGAAAAATAAGGCAGCAGTCATTTAAATAATGTAAGAAAGTTAGAATTCTCTTCCAGTTTTAGGATTTAGAATAACTCATAAAGAAGAATGTATGAAATCAGATTATAATACTATACTCATGTCACCAATAAAAAATTTATTTGAAATGATAAACACACCTGTTATTGTAGTAGCATATTTAAACACGTTGAGCAAATATTTTTGATTAAATCTTCTTCTTATAATATTAATTTTGTTTCTCTCAATCAAAACATTTTTCTTTATTATCCATAGATATAAAAATAAATTAAAAAGTCACAAAATTACTAGTTTAGAAGTGAAATAAAACCAAAATGTTTCAAAAACTAATTGCCACACTAAAATAAATAATTATTGATACACGTAACAAGTTAGAACTATTATGATATAATAAAATATATTATCGGATTTTGTTGAAAATTACTTTATTTCTGTTTCAATGAACTATTTTATATTAAAAAAATATTATCAGCTTTGTATATAATAATTCAAATACCACTGTCATGGAACACAATTAATTTTATTATAAATCAAATCGATTCATGATAAATGAACAAATAAATTGATTATATTATTTATTTAAAAATTATATATAATACCGATATTATTGATTAATGTTATTAACTTTGCTAATAATGTTTTCAATTGCTGGAAACTCACTACTTATATCTTGCCTATGAATATCATGACTCTCTTAATCAAATCAAACATAAAAACAACAATAATATACTAATAATGACAATACATTAAAAATTTATTCAGATCAATTTTTTAATCTTTTTCATGAAAACTTTAAATATATGAAATCTAATATCAATAAATTGGCTTGTTAAAATGAAATTCACCACACACTAATATATTTTTTAATTTAAGTATATAATAACACAAAAACATAATGTATGTATTATATACCATCTCGGTCTAAATAGTATATTGTTATATTAATGAAAATGTTTTTTTTACTTTTCTATCTATATATAAACACAAATATCATTGTCGTAGTTAAGATATTAGCAAATTTAAATACTACTAGCTTGATATCATTTTTTGGGTTTACAATACAAAAATTATAAAGACAAATATTATTTAAGATGCACTCTCAATTACTTGCATTATGTATCTGAACTTTATCAGTCTCTATCCATGATCTTGTATATTCCTTTTTCTCCGCCGTTTTCTTTTTGTTGGAGTTAATATATATATTTATTTGAAAAAATGATTTTTGTTCAAATTTTTCATCTGTAAGTTAATTGACTTTTTCTAGATGACCTTAAAAAATCGCCGTTTAAAATCCTTATATTTTGCAGAAACACAAAGATACACCCTGCATAAATATTATTTTTTTAGAGCTTAAAATTGAAAAAGAAGAATTTCTGTAAAATTATAATTGATCAAAATGTTTTATAATTTTCGGTTATATTGCGATTTTGCGACGTTCTAAATGCTAAAATTCATTTTAAATATAAATAAATAAAAAAAATATTTAAAGTTTTAAACCGCAGAAAATATAAAATTTTATTATTTTAATGTCTAGCAAAGTCGAAAATGTTTAAATAATTTGAATACAAGTTTATAAACAAAATATTTACAAAATGCAAAAGATCAAGTATACCAGTTAGCAGAATTTATCCACCAACCTTAACATCAAATGCTTTTTGTTAGCCCTAAGGAAATATAGAGGCTCATAGTTGGAATTAGAATCTTTTTATTAGGATTCCAATAGTTAATGCCAAAAACAAATTTATCAAAGGTTTTTTTATTTTAAATGAACTAATGATTTCACTATCGAATAAAAACTAGATTATATATATTTTTTTGCCTGGTGTTACGCAAAATATCCTGGTAAATTTTTTTTTCATGTATTGTCTTATTAGGCTAATTTTTTTAGAAACACAAAATTATAAAAAGTAAGAAGATATTTACCAGAAATTTTATGCTCTCAGTAGTTGGAAATAATATTTTGCTTTTAATTTTTTTACCACATAAAATATAACATTTTGGTTATAAACTTAATGTCTTTGGACGGTTTTACCGCGACTCGGGTTGATTTAGATGAAAAATAATATTTATTTGTCATATTTAATAATTAAAGAGCTTATTTATACTTAAATTCACTACAAGACTAAAACGTTATCTAATCAATAAAATTAGATATGTGTTTACCAAAAGAATTATAAGATAAGATCATCGCATCTACTGTTATAAAGATAAAATTTTCTACTACAACATCATTATAAATTGAAAAAAAAAATATAAAGTTGATATAAATAAATAAGAAGCAATTTTTAAAATTCTAGAAAATTAAAATCACCATACAGATAAAAGATAGTTAACATAATAGGATTAAGATTTACTGTTAAAATAATATATACAATGAACTGATCAATTTTATCAGCAATATGACAAAAAAAAACAATAAAAACGTTTTATATTTGGACTTAGTTGTGAACCACTTTTGTTCCAAACCTCGGTTAAGTAAGGTATGGACGAAAGATGGTGGAAAATAAATGTTATAAAGGTCTTAAAACGCCCTTAAATGCGAAGAATAAAGGTTTTCATACAAATTATTATAAGTATTGCTTGTTTTCAATCGTCTGATTATCTTTATATATATATGCTTGTAAATTTTAAGCATGTTCGCGACCAGCCTCAATAATGGGTTTGTATATTCTTGATAAAGACGAGAACAAAAAAAATTCTTACTATCAATTATGTGTGTGCCCTTTTGGATGATGTTTTTTGAGATATGCAATCTGGTTCAATATTTTCATTCCGCATATCACATTAGTAATAGTAGAATTATCTGTTAAGCACAATATGCCGATTATCTTTTTATAAATTATATTATTTTATGATGTATGTAATTTATATCATAATATCATAGTATTTTATTCAAATACAAAGGTATTTTTATTTCAAATATCATGTAAGTATTAGGTGCTTGTAGCCTTAAATCAATTTATATCTATGAATTTCTACAATTAGTTTTTTACATACGAAACGGATATTTAAATTAATTTTAATGTTTTTTTGTAGCAAAATTAATATAAAAATCAAGATCACGAATAATTAAGTGTTTATGTATTTTTTAGGCATATTATAAATATTCTATATTATAAAATAGTCAAAAATTATTAAAAAATAAAAGAGAAGCTATATTATCAACATGTGCAAAAAATGCTTATTTTATAGTTATAGAAGTGTAATAAAAAACAAAAATATATTTATGGGCTATTTTTACAGCTATGAGCCAAAAATTATTTAAAAATCTAAATTTTATTTAATATATTATAAATGATTTAAACATATAATATTGATTA